CCGCGAGAGGGGGGGTGGCTGACAGCTGGTGGGGGGAGTTTGGAAAGTTTGTGCTGAGCGCTGATTGGGCGGAGCCCTGGGCCGGCGCTGGGCCCGGCTTGCCCCACCCCACTCCGGAGGAGGAGGGTCACTCCCTCTCAGTCGTAGAATTCAGGGTTCCCGGCTTCCCCCAAACCCTTTCCTCCTAGCAGGCCCCCTCAAAGGAGCTCGTAGCCTCATTCAAACTTGAGCCTCCATCCAGGCCCTGGAATTAGGGGTACAGCTTTATACCAAGTTCTTTCTGTGCCTCGGAGGCTCCCTAATGGGATCTCAGCCTCCTGCCAACCTCTTACCCACCTGCCTTACCCCAATCGCTTAGCCCCACGGGAGAGGTACTGCCTCACCCCCACACCTTCCCTTCAGGTTCCTAAACAAGGGGTCCTCTTGTCACCTTAAACCTCACCCCAGATTCTACAATGAGGCTCCCAGACTTGCCCCAAACCTTCATCTGTCCTCCCACATTCCAGAATTGGATGTCCCGGCCCCTCCCCACCTCCCCACAGATTCCCAAGCACCGGCCTTGCTTTCCCCCAAACTCTTAACCTTCAATAAAGGGTCCCACCTCCACCCCCAGCCCTCCTCTGCCCAGCTCAGGTCCCCAAAAGGATGCTCTACCCCCAACCCCAAATCTGCACACATACCCCCAAACAGCGCTGCCACAGGGAGGAGCGGTTCCCTGCCATTCTGGGGTGGGGCAGAGCCCCCCCTCACCCTACTGGGACCCCCCAGTGTGAAGAGGCCCCCAGGGGGTCAGGTGGAGTTGTCTGTGCCATTGAACAAGAGCAGGCGTGTGGGGTCTGAGAGCTTCCGCAGGGAGGAGCCCAAGGGGCGGGCGTGGCCTGGGCCCTGAGCTCCCCCCTCACCACCCAGAGAGAGAAGCCAGCAGTGCCTCCCTCCTAGCCTCTGGCTCCTCAGACAAAGAGCCTCTGTGTCCCTGGAGAGGAGGGGGTGGGGGCCCATGTGGCCTGAGGGGCGGATGGGGGCTCCCAGGGTAGGGGCAGCAGAGGGAATCTCCCCAAGCTGCTCCTCCTCCCTCCCCGGGGACATCTGAGGCTGAGCCTCTCATTAGGTTTCTGCGCTGCCTTGCCCTGCCTTTCGGGGAAGTTTCTGCTGTATCTGCTGTATCTTCTGACATTCCTGTGCGCATCGGAGAGGACCCCACTGAGACCACCCTCTCTGCCACCTCCTCTCCCTCTCTCCCTCCAATCAGAGACTCTTTGCCCAGAATAGAGACAGTAAGAGAATACTC